CGAACCTTCTTGGAACTGATAAAGGGACGCTCATCTTGGTATATGTTTTGCTGATACACCTCATCTCCAAGAAGAACCAATCTCTCATCACAACAAAACCGCAATATCTCTCTTAAGTTAGCTTCGCTAAGACACTGGCCAGTTGGGTTTCCAGGGTTAATGATCACCATTGCCCTTACCTGCATTAACCATGTGTCTTAAATAAGATATCATAAATAAGCCTCCGCATCAACAGGTTCGAGACGAAAGGGTGGAAGAATCACTCACTGTTATTCCTCGAGAGCGGGCCTGTGCAACAGACTGGCGAAGGTTGTTAACATCAAGTCCCCAATTTTCAGTTTCTTCAAGATAGTAAGGAACAAGAGTGCCACCTAACAGAGATATGGTAGCTGAGTAGAGTGGATACTGTGGAACTGGAACCAGAATCTGCCAACCAATAAAACTTGTGACAAAGATGCTACTATAAACCCGGCATAATCCCATACACAATAGCGAAGTGAATTTCAAGAAATGCAGTAGGATCGAACAATCCCATATAAAGTTGATGTGGGATCAAAACATACAGCAACATTAGTCATGCCTAATTATCTCCTCTAAGATTAAACCTTTAACGTGGTCAGTTTTGATGCCAAATTGAAACGATCAAACTCATGATAAAACTTTAGATAAAGGAAGTTGAGGTTCATTACCCCGTCTTTCTGATTGCGTATGATACAATTCAAGATTTGCATCACACCTTTGCTAGCTCCATCGGTTAGAAATATGAGTTCTGGGTCACTGTAATTTGAAGATAAGAAGCAAAATTGCCTCAAGAGTAATTCTGTTTTACAACAAATCAATTTCATTGCACAAAGAAAACAAAAGCAATCACCTTGGATATCCATCACGCCGTTCAATGAACTCAGCGACTTCCTTCCGAACTCCCGGAAGGCCTCTTGAGTCACTGTAAGCACCTGATGAGAAATTAAAGCGAAATTTTGTTTTCACTTGTACAAACCTAAAGAAATTACAAACTAGTGATAGTTTAGCTATAGAGTTCTTTAATAAACACATACCAAGACCACCAGAAGTCAAGGAAAGATAATGCTTAGCTCTTGCAATAGCATCTGCAGGGAATATCATCCCAACATTTGGGTTATCTAGCAGAAACGGTGCTTGGCATAGAGCAACCACCTGCATTGGTATATAATAGTCAGAAAGTATGAGAATTGCAGCAACATAACAGA